AGCTACGTAAGAATACACACCTGATGATGGCCATTTAGGGCCGAAACATGTAGTGTGGAGGAAGGGAAGAAGAAAGAACTATAATTAAATTGTTGCACTTAAGACGGAGTTTGTCTCATATATATTAGCCTGGATACTGTTGTGACAGGTGTTTTTGTAGCTTTCCTCTGTTTAAGGCAAACTAGGCATAACTACTTCAATATGCTTTCTATTTCATCATTCACCATCATCCAGTCATCCAACTCTGTACAGGCAGAGATACTGTCAGGATTACTGAATAAATTACAGGTGAAATATTTGGTTTATAATGCAGTGTATTATGGCATGTAGACATGTTGTTAGGCACTAGCAGTGTAATGCTTATACTGCTCACCGACAAGTGGTGGTCGTTCAGTCGGTATAGTTCATTCATTCATTTATTGTATATTCCATAAATCCATATACATAGATATAGAACCAGTCACATAGCTAATATAGTACAATACAAATATAAATATATGTACAGTTTATAATCAAAAAAACAGTCTTACATCACTATACGTAAAATTATGCAATATTAAAATTGTTTATGTTATTATCCTTATTTCTAGGCAAATTTGTCACTAAAGAATTCATCACATGTATAAAAAGAGTTTTGCAATAAAAATGTTAACTGAATTTTAAAAATTTTCATGTCATTAGACATAGATTTGATTTTTGGTGGCAAATGATTAAAAATCTTTACCCCCATGTAACATATTCCTTTTTGGAATTGTGTTAGACTAGTTTGCGGATAATGCAGATCACAGATAAATCTGGTACGACAATTATGCATTTGTGAGTTGAATGTGAATAATTCCTTATTTACTATAACAAACAGAGAAATCGACAATATATATTGAGCTTGTAGGGGGAGGATATCCGATTCTTGAAACAGACTACGACACGATGTTCTTTTGTTGTATTTGTAATCCTAATTATCCTTTTCTGCATCCTAAACACTTTTATACTATGCAGGGAGTTACCCCAGAATATTAATCCATATGTTATTATAGAATGTACATAGGAAAAATACATCATTTTTAATGCCTCCAGTGGTAAAAAGGATTTAACTGATCTGATTCAAAGCAGGATCTGTTTAACTTGTCAATTACTACATCAATATGACGTTCCCACATTAAAAAATTTTCAATTTTTAATCCCAGAAACGATATATTAGAAATACTTGGAATTTGATTGGTTAAATAACTAACTTGAACATTTAAGTTTTTACTATTTTTAGTTCTAAACTGTAGAAAATAATTTTTTATAATTTATTACTAGCTCATTTTTCCTAAATCGTTCATTTATCATCTCAAATAATTTATTTATTCTGATTTTGAATTTTGCAGGATTCTTATCAAAGATACTTGTATCATCTGCAAATAATATTGGTTTGGATAGGTCAGATATAATTTTTGGTAAGTCATTTACATATAGTAAAAAAGCACTGGGCCTAATACAGAGCCCTGAGGCACTCCGCACTGTATTTCTTTCCATTCACAACAACATTTACTCCCGTTTTCATACAAAATTACTCTCTGGTATCTTCCTCTCAAATAGGATCTCATAAGTTTCTGAGCAGCTCCTTCAATTCCATAAAATTCCATTTTTGATAGCAATATATCATGATTTACTCGGTCAAAAGCCTTACTCAGATCACAAAAAATTCCACCCGCTATATATTTGTTGTTTAAAGCCCTATAAATATTCTCCATTAGATTATAAGTAGCTAATGTAGTTGAAGAGTTTTTTCTAAAGCCGAATTGCTCCTGCGTTAGCAGGTTATGTGTATTTAAGTGGAAAATCATTCTTTTATATATAACTTTTTCAAAAATTTTAGAAAAGATTGGGAGTAAAGATATAGGTCTATAATTAGACATGTCGGTTTTATCCCCTTTTTTGTGTATGGGTATTATTTCAGAATATTTTAATTGAGCAGGGAATATTCCTGTAGACAATGACTTATTAAATATGTAAGTTAATGGTGATGATATATATGGTGCACTTGCTTTTATTTATTTGGTGGTAACTCCATCGTATCCACGNGCTGCTTTAAGTTTTATAGATCTTATTATCTCCTCTATTTCATTGTTATTAGTTGCTTTTAATACCAATTTCTGAGATGGTTTTGGAAATGAAGTGTATAAATAATCCATGAACTTCTTATCTGTTTCCACAGTATTATTTGTCCATTTCTTTGTAGAATTGTTTATGTCTAAAAAAAGTTATTAAACGATCTTACTATATTTTTGTAGTTCTGAGTGATATTACCCTTTATATTTAAACAAGTCACATCAGTAGAAGCTTGGCTATTTCCAGTCATGTTTTTTATAATTTTCCAGGTTGTTCTTATTTTATTATTGAAAGTTCTTATGACTTTGTTCAGATATGACTTTTTTGCTGTTGAGATATCTTAATATCTTGCAATACATTTTATAGTGTTCTTTTAATCTAGAATCATTATTGCTCTTAATTTTTATGTAGAGCTTCCTTTTTTTATTACATGATTTTATAATTCCTGGGGTTATCCATGATTTATTAGCATCTGTACTTTG